TTTCATTCCTATAACATCACGATAAAATATCCTGGTTCTAAGTATTTAAATATTAAAAAAAACCCAGAAATTATTAAAATAAAAGAATTAAAAAAAAAAATACCAGTAAAATAAAATTTTAAACTTCCGAACCTCATTGCTAGTTTTTACTGCATTTACTCAGAAATTTATACAAATTTTTGTAGCACAGTCTTCCTCTACGTTTCTCAATTCATATTTAATTGGGCACTTAAGTATTTGACACATATAACTAATTTAGAACATCTCAAAAGTATTAGTTAGCAACTTGGTTGGCAACTTGTTCATACTAAAATGGAAAATGCATCTGTTTTTTATTGCAAATGCTTTTTGAGACACAATTGTCTTTTTTAGAAAGCAACTACTTGTCCTCATCACTTTTCTTTTAGGTTAGCTGTTTTTTTTGTTGTTTTTTTTGTTTTTTTTACAATGAATATCAAATCTACCTTGTCGCTTCAAGAACAAAATAATTTTTGTTGTAATTGAATTTAAGGGATTGTAATTGATTTTTCAGTTGCTTGCTAAACATTAATTTGACTGAAATATCATTTCTTTAAATTTAAGTAGTATATACTTGACTCTTTAAAAATCCTGATAGATTGCCCCTTTGCAGGTTATTTAAAGCCAGAAATGTTTTCACAGTAAGAATTTTTTTTGTGATATAAATGCACTGTCAATCCCTCAGTTAGTGGGGCTAAGAAATTTATTTAGTCCAATGTATATGCTGCTACTGTATGCAGATCTAAACTCTTAACTGCCATGTATAGGTTGCAGTTAGGATGATAAATTTGTCATTATAAATTGGGTCCAAAAAAACAGAAGTAATTTTTTACTCAACATCATGTATAGTATGCACCAGTTAACCAAGATAATAAAGATTTAGTGATACAAGTCATTAATCCATAGTTGGGGGAAAAGGTGGACTTGTACCCTTTCCCAAGAGTATTTGCATGTAAGTGAATATAACGAACCCAAATGAAATTGGAATTCTGCTCTCCACTTAACACTTCCAAGCCATTGTACATTACACCACCCACACATCCAAGCTTACAGCACCTGGTGTTCCCAAACAGTCGCCTATCAAGGTACTGACCTGGCTCACTTTGGTGATCATACAGGAAATGGTGTTTCAATGTTATGTGGGTGTAAGCCATAAAAATTTCAGTATACTAAAGTTTTAAAGAGATTGCTGTGGTGACAAAAAAAAAAAAAAAAAAGGTATATATAAACATCATTCATTTGTAGAGTTAAACAAATGGCAAAATAAATTGGAAGCTGCATTCAAGTTAGAAAAATAAATGCAAAACATTTCCCAGGATTCAGAGAACTTCACTTACCATTTTGATAATTGAAATTAATTGACAGTTCAGTAAATATTTCTTTGAAGAAATTAGTCACACATATAACTTTTGGATCTATTATCAAAAAGTTTCATGGGGAATAGGCCTGTTCTTTATCAGCCTCAAGAATATATTATTTCTTGTGTATATTTATATCTTATTCAGTTTTTCCTTTTATGGCCAAACTTCAGCAAGTTCATTTAATGACAAAAAAAAATTCTGGATTCCTTCTTTGTTGCTTTAACATCTCTGTTACATTGCCAGTAGACAGAGTATTATTTTTATGTATGGATTTCAGGTGACTAAAGCTCACTACACTAGATAATGCTTTTTTTTGTTTATTCCTTTTCTTATAAAATGACCCAAAATATCTCTTTTGAACAGTTTAATTTTACCAAATTTTAAAGTTAAAAAGCAAAACAAGAATGAATCCTAGCATAAAATACATTCATTGCCTTTTCAAGCAATAGAAAAATAATTTTTATGGAGTTTTGCAAGATAGTGAAAATCAGCCTTTTCCTCAAGCATGATTAAAACAATGCCTTTTAGTTTAGTGAATTCAGTTAAGAGAAAGATCTTGTATACTAGATTGGCTTGAAACCTGATAAACTGACCTGTTTGTTTTATTAATATGATTACAGCTGACAAATTGTTAATAGATTAGTTTATTTGCCATAAAGGCTAGACTAGAAAACCTTTACAGATTATAAACAATTATCGCTTTTTTTTTTTTTTCCTTTGTCGCTTACCAATAACAAGGTGTATGTCTTTCATCAAAGCAAATCTGTATATGACAAAAGGAAAACTTATCTTAGTCAATGCCTTTCATCCTCTGAGTGACTTTACCAAGGCAAATGTAAGGATTTTATTTTGTGATAAGTATTTATATACAAGAGGCAAAAATTTATATTTAGCCACTAAGCTAAAATTTATGTAACTTCGTAAATAGGTTGTGTGTGTGTGTGTATATATATATATATATATATATATATATATATATATATATATATATTTTTATTTAAAATTGATTTTTACATTCAGCTTTCCTTAGATTTGTATAACATTTTCTCGGGTTTCATATGTAAAAATGTTATATGAATACTTTTTGGAAGTGAAAAAAATGCTTTTTTTTTTTTTCTTTTTTTTTTAATGGAAATTGAATCCTCTAGAATTATGTTTGCATAGTTATAAAGCTTAGTCTATATTTTCTTAATTATATATTTTATATTAAATGATTTATAATTCACCTTTACAATATGAAACCAGATATTACAAAAATATTAGATGTTTATCTAACTATTAATTCATAATTTTTTTCCTGTTTACATTTAAAATGGCTTCAGATAAAACAAGTCAATTTGCTGACTCATCATTTTGCTTAATTATGATCATGTGGCCAACTTGATTACTATCATATGACTCCTGCAAAAACAATTTTTAACAATTAATAACTTAGTGTGTGGCAATACTAGAAATACTTTTAGTACAACTCACATATTCATCAAACAGCTTTTTAAATTTTAAGTATTTTATAATGTTCAGTCATTTAATTTTCCTCAATTAAAAAAAAAATTAGTTTACATTTTGCCGCTAATCTAAAATTTTCTGTAACTTAAGAAATAGGTCTCTAATATATTTATAAAATTTTTCTGAAATAATCACAATCCTTCTGAATTGAATTTATTTTAATAGCAAATGATAGCATGGAGTATTGACTGTGACTGGTGATAAACACATGATATCTTCTAAAACTCTGGGGAAATGTACTAGAACTTTACTGACCTGTTTGCTGGAATGTGGTTCTTGTTCAAAATTTTTCTTATCTGATCCTGTATGTTCAATATATTAAATGCCAATAGATTATTCCTGACTCCTCTCCTGATTCTTTACTGATATGGTTAGCACCTTAACTAGGTTAATTTCATTTGCACATGTTTGTAAATAACATTAGTCCGATCATGTCCCCTTAGCTTACTGATTGCAAGATGATCAAATTTCAAATCTAAATTGTTTGTGTATATTTCTGAGATGAGCTATTGTAACTATTTACATTTTATTGCCATATTCACAATGTTTCGGCCATTGTATGCTCCACCCTTTTTCCAGTGATATGCATTAGAATTTCAAAGCAAACCCTTTATTTCGTTTATGTGGGTAGATTATTCTAGTTCACACCTTTTCTGGATATCTCCGTTTCCAGTTAATTCCCTTATTTTACCTCTGTTGTGGCCAGGTATTGAATTCACAACTCTTTGGGTCAAGTCACTTTTATCCACTGGTCTATGTGAATTGTTTATCCATTTAAAATACCCTAAATTGTAGTGTATATGTCCAGTTTTCAAGCCTGAAAATCTTTCCGTGGGTCAACTTGTATGGTAGGTATAAGATACAAATCTTTACCACTGAGTTGTAAATGAGTGGGACAGTCCTACTAACAATTACTGTACACCACTAGCCTTACCATACCTCCAACAGACTACCACAAATATATCCCATTAAAACTTATGCTTGAATATATTTGGCATATTAACACAGAAATTAATATAAAACTATAAAATGGTAATACAAGTTCAGTATTCTATTAACACTATAGCCAACAGCTGATACAGATGACAGCTGAGTGATATTGTGTTTTGCAATAACATACAATGCATAGCAGTACTATCAAAAAACTGCCTGGTATAATGTGTAATCTACAGTATTAATATTTTATAGGAGTGGATGTTGGCTTTAATGTAGACCTGATGAATTTTAAATGTTCACTAAGTTATACCAATACAATATACAGTATCCACCAGTGTGTGTTGTAGGTTGTTTGCTATATAACCCATATAGAAAGATATGTTTAGTGCCACAGTATTCAGGTAAGTGGTATGACCTTATCTAGTTTGGTTATCAAATACTGTAGCTTAACTTCATTTACTGGTAGGTCTAAGTTTTGGGCCACTGATGGGCTACCATATATTTGCTTTGACCTATACAGTAGGTCTGGGCTTAACTCAGAATTTTGAGGTCAACTTGTATGCTCCCAATTTATGATACTACGTTTATTAGGAAATATATTCAGTTTAAATACAGGAGGAGTCATAAAATGACTTCAGAGGAATTCTTGCCAAACAGAAAGGGGGAAATTTAGTCCTTGTGACACAGATGTCTATTTCAGTTTCAATCAAATTGTGTTTGCATATGTAAATTTGCATGTGGACATGTATATTTTAATTCAATGACAGACCTAAAAATATTTAAAAAAATCTTTTTTTAAATAATTTTATTTATAATTAAATAAATTCCAAAGAATTCAACAAAATTTTATAGTTATCTTTCTCCCCCACTCCATTTTTATATTGATTATATTGCTAAGCCTAGGGCAGACATTATCCAGACTGACTAGGAGGAGAATGTATTGTTTCAATGTCCTTTCAAACACGGGTCAAAGTGTATATGTATATGAGTGTGTACATAAAATGTCACTCACACACAATGCAGGCGGTGTGACGGACAGTGAATCTGCCTAATGTACCTAAATTATTACTTCAAATTATTCTGATGTCTCTCTTTTTATATCTAATGTTCTTTCCTTCTTTTGATTTAAAATGGTAGCTTTGGTATTTGTTACTGTATTAAAAGTAAGTTTGAAAAATAATGCTTTTTTTCTTTTTGCCCCGCTTTCTCTTTAATTCTCTTATCCCTTATCTTCTAGCTGGAATCTCGAGCAGCCGCAATTTATTACTACCTCAACAGCCTAGACTTTTAGGTAACCCTCAAATATGCTTGCCAACGTTAAGTAAGAAGGCTTTAACACTAAGTCCATCCACATGCACTTGGGAATACTTTCGTGCCAGGCGTGGACCCTTCACTCCAGGTAAAAATTCTTTTGTCAACATTAAAATCACTTCTACAGAAATAAATTCTTGATTTGTTAATTTCTTTAACATCCAACAGTATTTGAAATACCTTAATAAAACTTGTTGCAAATTGTTTACTTACATTTGGAATTGGCTTACATTGACGTTGATTGTAGACTTTTGTAAAATGATTAATATTTAATTTTCAGTCACATATCATGTCATTTTAAGTGTTGCTCAATCACTTTTCCTGCCAACTCTATTTTCATCAATTTAATGGTTATGTTTCTTGTTGGAAGGATGTGCTGTTAAGTTTGTTTCCACAATTTTTTTTTTTTATTGCTCCTTGGTTGGTCTTAAAACTTTTCAGCATCCCCTCCCCTTGTATATGAAATTTGGAAAATCTTGCCCACTGATGATAATCTTGATGACTGGCTATATGAGCGAGACAACACATCAGCAGACTGATTAATTAAAATTTGATCTGAAATTTTCAGGGTAAAATGTTTGATCTATATTTTGATTAATATTCATCATTGAATAATAAAAATAGATTGTTTAAAAATATTTTTGTAAAATAAATGCTTCCCCCCCCCTCACCTCTTCATATTTTTTTCATTGCTCTACAGACTTACTGATATACCTACATATATTTTCATCTTGTATGTGATGAATATTTTTTTATTTGATCATTTAATCTGTTTATATTTCTGAGATGAGATATTGTAATTTTTTTTTTTTTTTTTTTTTTTAATTGGTATCACACCATGCAAGGCAGAAAAGCCACTAAAACACAAGGGGTTACAGAGTGTGGAAGAATTAGGAATAGAAACATTAATAATGAGTGGAAAGAGAAAAGAGTAGTCAGGAGGATAGTAGATAGCAATTGGCATTGTATTTAAATTTTTGTAGATTAAAGTTGGCTGGAAAACATGGAGCCAGAAGGGAGTTCCACAAGCAAGAAAAGAAACTGTTAGCATAAAAATTACAGCTACATCTAACCAGCTCCACTATCAGTCTATTACTGGACTTAAATTCAAAAAGTCTAGGTACCATAGTGAAGAGCGATATTTATTCTGTTTTCTACAGAAATGTGGCACAAGGCCGAAAAGGGGATTGGGGAAAGGACGGTATTCTTCTGTCTTAACTATAACTTAGCTAGCCGCAAACACTGACCCAATCTTACGAAACAATATTCAACAACACATTCATATGTACCTTTCTTACTACAATCACCATAATACCTCTTTGTCTCTATGAAAATACTAACTAGTCCCCATATTTACAATTCGTGGTCTGTGGTGGGGAAGGGAATAAAACAACAATTCTAAAAATTAACCCCAATGAGTATTTACAATATGCATACAAAAACTATTTACAAGAAACTAAAGAAAATAAGATTAGTAATAAAACCCCCCACAATTACTAAATGTGACAGAAACATCACTTCACTGGCCGAAATCAATGCGGGACTATAATAGTATAAACCATTCATTCATCCCAATCACTCACACTGACATGCACTCATACAGACACAACAACATAGTGAAGAGCTCCTTCGAATAATTACCATGCAAGTACTTATAAAAATGGCACAGGGAGGCAACCTTACAACGGTGGGCAAGTGACTGAAGCTGAGCTGACAGATCAGGACCAATAGCAGGGGCAGGCACCAGCCCATATTTAGCAGTAATATTCTAAGCCTGGATAAATGGTAAGACATGCAAGATAGATTCTGGAGACAAAAATTGTCTAGCACAAAGCAATGAACCAACATTCTTATCAGCTGACCTATCAATGAATTCAAAATAGTCTTTCCACTTCATGTCAGCTGAGAACGTTAGCCCAAGAAGATGCAACGAGTCACTTTCCTGGAGGTTAGCATCAGCTATGCTGATGGAAATCATAGGGGGGGTCTCTCAGATGATTAATGAAGAGAAGTTTAATTTTGGAGGCGTTAAAATTAACAAGCCATCTTTTGCCCCAACAGACTGGAGGTCATTTTTGACATCAGCTACCATTTTGGCCTTGTTAGACTGATCAGCCTTACTATCTAGGCGGGAGTAAATGGTTGTATCGTCAGCATAGATGCCAAGTTGAGAGCTGATATCATCAGGAAGGTCATTAATGAAAATTACAAATGGAGTAGGACCAAGGATGGAGCCCTGGGTGGGTGGGAGACACCTGCGTTAGTACAAAAGGATATACACAAGTGGCTAGGATAACTTTCAGTGTTCAGGATAGCTTTCATTTCACAATTTGATAGGAAAGACTGAATCAGTTCAAAAATGTGTCTGGAGACACTAACTTTTCAGCTTGTGGAGAAGACATGTATGTCAAACACTGTCAAAGACCTTCAAGATGTCCAAAGCTACAGTTACATTGTCCAGACTTTTGTCCTGATCAATATCTATATCTCGGCAATTGTATGCTCAGGCCTTCAGGTGATATACATTGAAATTTTGAACTGAATACCTCATTTAGTCCATGGGGGTAAAAGAAAAGGCATGGCATGTGGAACTAGAACAATCTACCCCATAGACTATATAACGGTTTCAATTCAAAATTCCAACATATCTCCTGTAGAAGGCCAGAGTATACAACAACCGAAACATTGTGGATATGACAATAAAAATGAGGACAACAGTCTGAACGATATAAATAGCTATGATTTAATGTTGTCCATTTGGCTCATATGACTTTTGTTCTAAAATAATACTTATTATTTTTATTTTGAGAATGCAGTTAATTCTTTGTTAAATGCTCATGTTTGTTTTTATCTGTAATTGTCAAGCAAAATTTATTAAAAAAAAAAAAAAAAATATCTCTTAAGCAACTTATTAAATATATTTTACACTCTCTGTATTTTATACCAGCCATTAATCTAAAACTGTAAATTATCAAATTGTTTCTAATGATACAATATTTTTTATCAAATAAATTGTATTGTTTTAATGTGGGGTGCTGGAAGCCCTCTTTCTTAGCTATGCCGTTTCCTTTCAAAAGTTAATTCTGTAATTTTTCATATTAGCTAAGACTAGATTAAATAGTCCTGGATATGATGATAAGTTACATCCGACAGCAAGGCCTCTACTCTAGAGATTGGAGATTCTGAGGAGCATAGAATCACCTCTTAATTGCTGTTGTTCCCAGGTCCATCCTGACCTGGGGTGGTAGCACCTGTTAGGGTCCCAGCTATGAGCAAATAGTGAAACCCCACCCCCAAACAAAAATAAAACACTATAATAGTATAAAATACCAGCAGTACAGTTTTATATTAAAAAAAATGACCAACAATACATATTTATAGCAGAATGACCAACAATACATTTTGTCTTTATTAAAGGCATACAATTGCATTCAAGGTGTATTTAGTTGAAGCCATGAAATAATGTTCAAAATATTTAGATTTTGATATTAAATAACCCATAGAGGTGTTGATGAGCCACTAAACAAAATCAAACAATGCCTAAAAAACAATGTCTTACAGAATGAACATTGAACTTATTTGTGATTTACATTGATTAAGAAAATGTCAAATGTTTATCCTTCTCTCCAGTTCTGGTGATATTGCTTTTCTTTTCTCTGTAAAAACTCAGTACAAAATATAAAACTCTGTTTACGCCCCCCCCCCAAGTATTACTTTCTCAAACCTGCTCTCCTTGTGATAGACTAACAAGAATTTTTAATCCTGAAAAGTGCCAAATAAAGGTTTTTTTTTTTTTTTTTTTTTTGTTACTTTGATCTTCTTTCTATAATAAGATGTAGAATTCAAAGTATTTGTTTTTTATTTGTTAGCCGAGAAAAAGGGCAACCACATGATGTTGGCATCTACACATTGGAAGTTAGAGCGCATTGTTGCCATCAGTCTGTTAGGCATTATACCTGGGGCTCTTATAGCACCTGGACCAGTGATGGATTGTCTTCTTTCTACTACATTTTTGTTGCATAGTCATTGGTAAGTGGGAACTATGTGTATGTGTGTATTTTACTAAACTGCTTTCAGTTATCATTTTTACTTTTTAAAAAAAAAAATTACTGTTTTTATCTTAAAGCCTTCTTCTTTATCTTTCTTTTTAACATTGATTTTAATGATTGAATTTCATTGCTTGCTATTTTTAGTACCTACTATTGATCCAACTTTATTCTTTTTTTTTATAACCATGTACCATGCAATAATTCTCGTTCCTGATATCAATAAAAAAAAGGTTTATTTCCATTATCAAACTAATGATGATTTAATTTTTAACTCTTGTCATTTTTCTCTTTGCAGGGGTATTGATGCAGTTTTACAAGATTACTTAGCCAAGTTTATCCCTTGGATTCAGAAAGTTTGGCTAGTAATCAGCATCGTAGCCATGTCTGGACTGATACACTTCAACTACAATGATATTGGAGTCTCTAAAGCAATACTTTTGCTATGGAATATTCACTAGTTCATTTCTCGCCTTTTTTTTTTTTTTTTAAATATATATATATATATATATATATATATATATATGATAATCTGGCATATCACCTTTGGTTTCTGCTCCTATAAATGAGGTAGACTATTAACTGTAATCTCAAGTTTTATACTTTGTCTTCTGACTTGCATAAAAAAAAAATAAAAATGAAGTTCTTAGAAAAAATATACAACACTTGAAAAAGTATACTGCAGGGAAAAAAAAAAGTTTTTGTTGGTGATTGGCTCTTGAGATATATATATATATATATATATATATATATATATATATTCAGATCTTGCTTGATCAGCAAAGCTTCTTCGTGGCCAGCTTGGTTAAGACACGTCATCTCTTATGATGGTTTTCTTCTGCTCAAGGGGATGCAGGTTTGGATACTGTTGGAAAGCATATATTTTTCTTTAATAAGATTTCTCAAATATTATGGCTGGTAGATGACCATAAATACACAAGCATCTATTCATATATGGGCATCCACTAAGAATAATGTTTAAAGGGATAAAAATCCTTCGGATGAATAAATAAGGACTCCATTACTTTAGAAAATTCCTTTGTTTACATTTGGATATGAAAATGAGCAGATATAATTTAGACGTATCTGACTAGAAGGATTTTGCTTAAAGGCACTGATCAGACCTTGCTTGATTGGCAATGCCTCTTTGTGGCCAAGTCAGTTAAAGCACATCAGATCTAACAACGGTTTCCCTCTGCCCAGCAGGGGTCTTAGGCTCAAATCTTGTCAGGGAGCGCATATTTTTGTTTAATAAGATTTTTTGGATATTCAGGTCGGTAGACGAAAATAAACTGTTTAATAAATAAACAAATGGAGAATCGGCTCAAATATGAGTATTCACTAAAAAAATAATGTTATAAGATAATATTTCTGCTGTAGAGCTCAACTTGCATCAACTACTAGGGCAGTTCAAAAAAGTTGATACAAGAAAATTGTATGGATGAAGCAGATGTGATAGAGCAAATGTCTAGTTGCTTATAATGGTAGGTTTGTTCAATTCACAATTGAGCACACTGGAAAGTACTTCATTATTTTCTAGGAGAATCACTCTTCTCCACTTACTGAACCCTTATAGATTTTGTTAGGCTATTTCTCTGATATAGCTAAACATTAACTGAAATTGATTTTGTGCAACTGACAATTGCTTTTCACTGTTTACTTAAGAAATGAAAGATTTCTCACTAGAATTTCTTGGGGAAGACATTTCTTGTTTGCAGTTCAAGCAGCCTGATTATAATGAGCATTTTAATGATGGGTTAAAAAAAATAAAATAAAAAGTAAAATAAACTGAAAATGCAACATATTTTTCTGTTTGATTTAGGTTTTTATTCATAAGCAAAGAAAAAAATTTTTCACTGTACCTCACTTTTTCACAGATTTTAGTGTCTTGAGATCTCCAGGATCTCCCATTCTCTACAGATTGTTGCCAAGCTACAAACCAATCTTTTGTGGATGCCTTAATTACACTTTTGTTGACTGTCATCACCTGAATCCACTAAATGGCATCTGTTTATGTTCTGAACTTCACCTGAAATAAATCTGTAATAATCTAGCAATTAAACTGGACATTATTTAATGAATTGTTTGTTTTTTTTTTGTTTTTTTTATAAATTTGGTCTTTGAAATTTTCTGTTCTATGTTTATTCATTGTTTGAAATAAGATTGTTGAAAAACAATTTTTTACATTTGGATTGATGTTCACATTTTTATTATCACAATGTTGTGTCCACCAGCTGAAGAAGGCTAGCAAGCACAACATCAAAAAAACAAAAATAAGGATTACTCATCCCAGAAATCCAGACAAATATGTATATTATTTTTTTTAATGCTTACTTTTTATTTATATATATATATATATATATATAAGCTTTAATTTAATTAGAATGTATGTATCTTGTTAATAAGTGCCATAATAAATACCAATATTTAAATCAACTTTTGAATTTGTGTTATGCCAGATATTCACTTGTAAATTTGATTCAGTATTTTGATTTCAAATAGTGCAAAATAACTGAAATTCAAGACAATAGACAAAAAAAAAATTGCTAAAACAGTTGAAAAGAAATATATAAATCTTTCTCCTTTCAACAGAGATTTCTATAAACTTTACACGCTGCATTGATGACACACTTTCCTTTTCCCTCCAATAAATAACATTTCATTAGTCAAGCCAAATAATACAAAATGTATATAAAAAGAAACAATTCAATTAAAAATTTAATTAATTATTAAAGAAATGCTCTTCCCTACCAGGACAAATCCAAGATTATAGATGATCTGTACTGGAGAATCTCTATACTTTTGCATCAGAGGTGGCCCAGAAATTGCACAGGTCCATCAACTTTTGGTGCAGGTGTCAGCACATGCCTTAACTCTTGTTTTAATGTACTAAATAAAAATCAACTACAGTACTCAAAGTGGTGGCTCGTGAACCAGTGCTGGTATGTGTCCAGGCCATGCTAAAGAATCATTATGGTCATATAATTTTTTGTTTTTTGGGTTAATAAACTGCTTATTTTTTATTAATTTTTATGTTTTGATTTTGAATTATTTTTTGCAAAATAAACGAGAGATAAAAGTAGCCAACTTTTACTATTTTCATTATATATATCGTTTCCGGTATAAATTAATATTATCATGAGTACAGGTATGTGACACTGAGAGAGAAAAAATGCTGGTCCGCCATATCAGATAGATTGAGAAGCGATGAACTACATTACGCGATGATAGACGGAATGTTTCAAGGGAGGTAACTTTACTGTGAATTATCTTTCTTAGATGAAACTGGAGTAATTTGTTATAACGCATTTTAGTTGTGTAAATTTGATGTCTTTGTATTCTAGTATCTGAAATTAACATTTCTTGTAAACAGTATTTTGATATATGATAAAAAGGACTAAATGCTAACGATTTCAGTCAATGACAACACCGAAATTTTATCACAGTCCAAACTAAAAATTTTGACTGTAAGGACAATGGGAAATTTCTACCTTATTGTGTCATTGACATTTGTTAGTGGCTAGGAATTAATGCAATCCTGGCAACATACCCATACATTAGATTATTTATTTACACTGATATTGTTTATTGGAATGGTTGGCAAAACATCAGATAATTGTCAATCGATTCAAACTTTATAAAATGATAAATAATAAGGATTTCCTTATAATTGGCTCACATATTTTAATAATTTAGAAAATGTTTATCAATCCATGAATAAAATTCACAAGAAGGAATTCATCTGCAGAATAATGAAGTCATTAAATGAAGAAAAAATACAAATAGGTTGACGATTCAATTAAACAGGTCAAAATGAAATAAAATAACGTAGAGAGTGTTTTAAACAAAACAAGACGAGATTGACATTGTTCTTGACAATTGAAAAAAATATTTACTAGATTGTTTATACACTATTATTTATTGGAATGATTGACAAATCATTGACTAATTGACAATGAAAATGCATAAATTCACTTATGTTTAAGTTTTATTACAATTCTAATTATCGATTTTTAAAACAATAAAACTTGAAGGAAGTTTTTAAAAAAAGTCATGTCATGAGAAAACCTGTCATTTTGGCACTCCGTCTAATTGGCGGCATATTTATTCATGTTTGGCGAAATTTTCTTATTAATCCTTTAAATAATGTGATATTTTCCATATATCTATGCATTTAATTATAAGACTTCTACTCTTGAATCTCGTCTTGTTTTGTTTAAAACACTCTACGTTATTTTATTTCATTTTGACCTGTCAATTAGTCAATTTTTGTCAAAATTGACTAATTGCCAGATGATTCGAAATTTATAAAATGACAAATAATAAGGATTTCCTTATAGTTGGTTCACATATTTTAATAATCTAGTAAATGTTTATAAATTAATGAATAAAAGCATTTATTTCTATATAAATTGATAAATAATAAATATTGCATTGGATTAGTTTTGTATTAGATTTTAGTATGTTGTAATTATAAAATTATTCTTGTTAGTAATCTAATAAATAGTATTTGTCTATATTTCTGAGATTAGGTATTGTAATTATTTATAATATTTACATTGTTCAGACTGTTGTCCTTATCTTTGTTGTCATATCCACAACATTTCGGTCGTATGCTTCCAGCCTTCTTCAGGTAATTGGAATTTCAAATTGAACCCTTTGTTTCATTCACCAGTGTAGATTGTTCTAGTTCCACATGCCATGCCTCTTCCGTATGTTTCAGTTATCTCCCATTAACTCAACTGTCCAAGTTTTTGCCAGGTATTGAACTCACAACTGTTTGGGTTAAGTCACTGGATCTAACCAGTGCTTTTATCCACTGGGCAATGAGGAAGGCTGGAGTGTATAATGGCCAAAATGTTGTGAATATGAGATGAGATGAGAACAGTTCAAGCAATGTAAATAGTGCTAAAAAATAGTGTTTAATATTTTTGTAAATTCTCAAGAACAAAAAAAATGCATAAATTCACTTTCTTCATATATTTAGGTTTTATTAAAATTCTAATCATCATTTTTTAAAACAATAAACATTGGCAAGGAGTGAAGATAGTTAAAATGATAGTGGTGTCAAGGGAAAAACTGTCCTTTTGACATACTGTTTTTTTTATGGGCTCAAAGTTTCAACGTTGTCAAAAAGTGTTTTAATATTTGTAACTGTTATTTTCAATGAAAATAAAATTACTGTGTGGATAATTTTGCACCTCTCTGCATCTAGTGCATGAAATGTTTAACAAGGGAGAGGTTTAGATAATTAAGCTAAGGGAAGTACCAGTAGAACTAGTAGTCAGTGATATGCAAGTACCTGGATTTTAAGTATCACAATCATGAGTCCTGTAACCCATTAGGGTCATAGGGCCAGCACATGTACTGCATCCCTAGCAGACCATGTGGTGTTTACTGAAAAATAGCCTGACAGAGCCCATCCCTCTCCAGTCAGGTTTGAATTCAGATTTTTCCTTCTCCTAGATTGGTTACCAAGTAAGGCTATAGGACTTAGTCTGTTCTGCTATTTCCCTATAGCTGGGAGAGAAGAGGACTTTCCAAAGGATATTAGTGCAAAAGTGAATGTAATTAACTCGACTGGAATTTGAACTTGGTTCACTGATTTCGCATTTCAAGCAGTTAACCCTAACACCACCACGTATCAGCCTCATGCATAGACATCTTAAATATAATTGTGATCAATGTTTCATTTTCTTTTTACTTTTTTTTACTTTTCTTTCTTCTTTACACTATCATTTTTCGTTACACTTTTCTTACCTCTTTCTTTCATCTTCCTTTTTTCATTCCTCTTTACTCTTTCTTTTTTCTTTACACTTTTCTTTCATCTTTCTTCCATCTTCCTTTTTTCATTCCTCTTTTCTTTGTTCTTTCTTTTTTCTTTACACTTTTCTTACCTCTTTCTTTCACCTTTCTTTTTCATTCCTCTTTGCTCTTTTTTTTTTCTTTATACTTTTCTTTCCTCTTTCTTTCATCTTCCTTTTTTCATTCCTCTTTGCTCTTTCTTTTTTCTTTACATTTTTCTTTCCTCTTTCTTTCACCTTTCTTTTTTTCATTCCTCTTTATTCTCTTTCTTTTTTCTTTACACATTTCTTTCCTCTTTCTTTCACCTTTCTTTCTTTTTTCTTTTTTCATTCCTCTTTTTTCTCTTTTTTTTTTTTTTTTTTTCTTTTTTTTCTTTCCTCTTTTTTCACCTTTCTTTTCATTTTTTTTCTTTCCTCTTTTTTTTCTTTTTACACATTTCTTTTTTTCTTTCATTCTTTTTCATTCCTCCTCTTTCTTTCACACATTTCTTTCCTTTTTTCATTTTTCTTTACACTCTTTCTTTTTCTTTTTACAATTTCCTTTCCTTTTCTTTCTTTCTTTTCACCTTTCTTTTTTTCATTTCTGCTCTTTTTTTTTTTTTCCTCTTTTCCTCTTTCTTTTTTCTTTTTCTTTCACCTTTTTTTCATTCCTATTTTTTTTTTTTTTTTTCTTTTTACCTTTCTTTTTTTTCTCTTTCTTTCTTTTTTTTTTATTCTTTCTTTTCTTTCACCTTTCTTTTTCATTCCTCTTTTCTTTTTTTTTCTTTTTTCATTCCTTTTTTTTCTTTTTCTTTACATTTCACCTCTTTCTTTTTTTCTTTTTTCCTTTCTTTTTCTTTTTTCTTTTCTTTCTTTTTTTTTTTTTTTCTTTCCTCTTTTCTTTTTTTCTTTACATTTTTCTTTCCTCTTTCTTTTACCTTTCTTTTTTCATTCCTCTTTCCTCTTTCTTTTTTCTTTACACATTTCTTTCCTCTTTCTTTCACCTTTCTTTTTTCATTCCTCTTTGCTCTTTCTTTTTTTTTACATTTTCTTTCCTCTTTCTTTTACCTTTCTTTTTTCATTCCTCTTTGCTCTTTCTTTTTTTTTTCTTTCTTTCCTTTTTTTCCTCTTTCTTTTTTTTTTCCTTTCTTTTTTTTTTTATTCCTCTTTCTTTTCTTTCTTTTTTTTCCTTTTCTCTTTCTTTTCTTTATTTTCTTTTCCTTTTTCTTTTACCTTTCTTTTTTCATTTCCTTTCTTTTTCTTTTCTTCCTTTTTTTTTTTTTTTCATTTCTTTCCTCTTTTTCTTTACATTTTTCCTTTTTTTTTTCATTTCCTTCTTCATTTTCTTTTTTTTTTTCTTTACATTTTTCACCTTTCTCCTTTTTTTCTTTTCTTTACACTTTCTTTTCTTTTTCATTCCTCTTTTCTTCCTCTTTCTTTCATTTTTTTTTTCATTTCTTTTTGCCTCTTTCTTTTTCTTTACCTTTCTTTTTTTCTTTCACCTTCATTCTCTTTGCTCTTTCTTTTTTTTTTAATTTTCATTTCTTTCTTTTTTTTCTTTACCTTTTCTTTTTTTCAGATCTTTCTTTTTTCCTCTTTTGCTTTTTTCTTTACATTTTTCTTTTTCTTTTTTCTTTTTTTCTTTTACGCTTTCTTTTTTTTTTCCTCTTTTCCTTTTTTTTCTTTTTTTTCTTTTTTCATTTTTTTCTGCTTTTCTTTTCTTTCCTTCTTTTTTTTCCTTTTTGCTCTTTCTTTTTTTTGTTTCATTCACTTTTCTTTCCTCTTTCTTTTTTTCTTTCTCTTTCTTTCCACCTTTCTTTTTCATTCTCTTTTTCTTTTTCTTTTTTTTTTTTCTTTTTTTTTTCTTTTTTTTTTTTTTTTTCTCTTTCTTTTTTTTTCATTTTCCTTTTTTCATTCCTTTTTTTTTTCATTCCTTTTGCTCTTTTCTTTTTTTTACCTTTTCTTTCATTCCACATCTTTTTTTTCTTTTTTTTTTCTTTACACCCTTCCTTTTTCATTCCTCTTTTTTTTTTTTTTTTTTTTTCTTTCCTCTTTTTTTTACCTTTTTTTTTCTTTACACATTTCTTTCCTCTTTCTTTCACCTTTCTTTTTTCATTCCTCTTTGTTCTTTTTTTTTTTTTCTTTTAGGATTTTCTTTTTCATTCCTCTTTCCTCCTTTTTTTTTTTCATTTTAAAAATTTGCTTTTCTTTTTTTTTCTTTCTTTTTTCTTTCCTCTTTTTTTTTCATTTCTTTGCCTTTTCTTTTTTTTTCATTTCTTCTTTTTTCTTTTTTTCTTTTTTTTTTTTTTTGCCTTTCTTTTCTTTCCTTTCTTTTCATTTTTCTTTCTTTTCTTTTGCTCTTTTTTTTCACTTTCTTTTTTTTTTTTCATTCCTTTTTCTTTCCAGATTTTTCTTTTTTTCTTTTCATTTTTTTTTTTTCTTTTTTTTTTTCTTTCCATTCCTCTTTCTTTCTTTTTTGCTCTTCTTTCTTTTTTTTTCATTTTTCATTCCTCTTTCTTTTTTTTTTTTTTTTTTTTTTTTCTTTTTTCCTTTTTCTTTTTTCTTTCTTTTCTTTCCTCTTTCTTTCACCTTTCTTTTTTTTTTTCTCTTTTTTTTTTTTTTCTTTTTTTTTTTCCTTTTTCATTCCTTTGTTTCTTTCTTTTTTTTTTCTTTTCTTTTTTTTTCCATTTCTTTTCATTTTTGCCTTTTTTTTTTTCTTTTTTTTTTCTTTTTTCATTTTGTTTTTTCTTTTTTTCTTTCATTTTTTTTTTCTCTCTTTTTTTTTTTCCTTTCTTTTTCATTTTTTCTTTTCTCTTTCCTTTTTTATCTTTCTTTTTTCAAAAATTTTCTTAACTTTTCTTTTTTTTTCTTTCTTTTTCTTTTTTTCTTTCATTCCTCTTTTCTTTTTTTTTCTTTTTTTTTTTTTCTTTTCTTTCCTCTTTCTTTCACCTTTTATTTTTCTTTGATCTTTTCTTTTTCTTTTTTTTTTCCTTTTTCTTTTTTCCTTTTGCTCTTTTTTTTCTTTACTTTTCTTTCTTTTCTTTCTTCCTTTTTCATTCCTCTTTGCTTTTTTCTTTTTTTTTCTTTTTTTCTTTCTTTTCATTCCTTTTTTCTTTTACTTTTTTTTTTGACTCCTTCCTTTTTCTTTTTTTTTTTCTTTTTTTTTTTCTTTCCTCTTTTTCTTTTTTTTTTTTTTTCATTTCCTCTTTTCTTTTTTTTTTTTCTTTTCTTTGCTTTTTTCATTCCTTTTTTTCCTTTTCTTTCCTTTCTTTTTCATTTTTTTTCTTTTTCTTTTTCTTTTCTTTTTTTCTTTTTTTTTCCTCTTTTCACCTTTTTTTCCTTTTACTTTTCTTTTTATTTACATTTTCTTTCTTTTTACTCTTTTTCATTTTTTTGCCTTCCTTTTTCTTTTTACACTTTTTTCTTTTTTACCTTTCTTTTTTTCATTCCTCTTTTGCTCTTTCTTTTTTTCTTTTACATTTCTTTCCTTTTCTTTTCCTTTCTTTCTTTTTCCTCTTTGCTTTTTTTTTTTTCTTTACACTTTTCTTTCCTTTTACTTTCTTTCCCTTTCTTTTTTTTTTCTTTTTTTCTCTTTCTTTTTTTTTTTTTTTTTGCTTTCCTCTTTTCTTTCATCTTTCTTTTTTCTTTTTCCTCTTTTGCTTTCTTTTTCTTTTTTTCTTTTTACTTTTCTTTCCTTTTCATTCCTTTTCCTTTCTTTTTTCATTCCTCTTTACTCTTTCTTTTTTTCTTTTCCTTTTCTTTCTTTTTTTTCTTTCTTTTTACCTTTCTTTGCTCTTTCTTTTTTTTTTTTTTCTTTTCTTCTTTCATTTTTTCCTTTCTTTTTAATTCCTTTTTCTTTTCTTCTTTTTCTTTCTTTTCTTTTTCTTCTTTTCTTTCATTTTTCTTTTTTTTTTTCTTTTCTTTTCTTTTCTTTCCTTTTCTCTTTTTCTTTTTTTCTTTCTTTTCCTTTTTCTTTCCTCTTTGCTTCTTTTTTTTTTCTTTTTTTTTTTTACTTTTCTTTTTCATTCTTCTTTTTTTTTTTTTTTTTCTTTCTTTCTTTTTTTTCATTCATTTCCTTTTTTCTTTTTTTTTCTTTTTCTTTTTTTTTTTTTTTCTTTTTTTTTCCTTTTCTTTTCTTCTTTCTTTCATTTTTTCATTTTTTCATTCCTCTTTGCTCTTTCTTTTTTCTTTACACTTTCTTTCCTCTTTCTTTCACCTTTCTTTTTTTTCTTTCCTTTTTTTCTTTTTTTTCTTTTTTTTTTTTTCATTCTTTTCTTTCCTTTTTTCTTTTATTCTTTTCTTTTTTTCTTTCCTCTTTGCTCTTTCTTTTTTTTCTTTTCTTTTTCTTTCATTTTCACCTTTCTTTTTTTCATTCCTCTTTCTTTCAAATTTTCTTTCTTTTCTTTTTCTTTTTTTTTTTATACTTTTCTTTCCTCTTTTTTCATTCCTCTTTTTTCATTTCTTTTGCTCTTTCTTTTTTTTTACTTTTTCTTTTTTCCTTTTTCCTTTTTCTTTTCTTTTTTCTTCTTTACTTTTCTTTTTTTTTCATTCCCCTCTTTGCTTTTTTTTTTTTTTCTTTTCTTTCTTTTCTTTCTTTTTTTTTCATTTCCTTTTTTCTTTCTTTTTCTCTTTTTTTTACTTTTCTTTCCTTTTCTTTCCTTTTTCTTTTTTTCCTTTTTTTTTATCTTTTTTTCTTTCACTTTCTTTTTTTTTTTTTTTTTTTTTTTCTTTTTCTTTTTTTTCATTTCTTTTTTTTTTTTTTTCTTTTTTTCCTTTCTTTTTTTTTCTTTTTTTTCCTTTTCTTTCACCTTTTTTTTCTTTCACCTTTTTTTTTACATTTCTTTTTTTCACCTTTTTTCTTTTTCTTTTGCTCTTTCTTTTTCTTTCCCTTTTTTCACCTTTCTTTTTTCTTTTTGCTTTTGCTCTTTTTTTTTTTTTTTTTCTTTTCTTTTTGTTTCTTTCTTTTTTTTTTTTTTTTTTCCATTTTTTCTTTGCTCTTCTTTTACCTTTCTTTCTTTTTTATTTTTCTTTCTTTTTTCTTTCTTTTTTTCATTTTTTCTTTTTTTCTTTCTTCTTTTTTTTTCTTTTTTCTTTTTCTTTTCTCTTTCTTTCACCTTTCTTTTTTTTCATTCCTCTTTTTTTCTTTTTTTCTTTCTTTTTTCTTTTACATTTTCTTTTTTCTTTTTTCATTTCTTTTTCTTTTTCATTTTTCTTTTCCTCTTTCTTCTTTTTTTTTTTTTTTCTTTCCTCTTTCTTTCACCTTTGTTTTTTCTTTCTTTTTCTTTTTTCTTTTTTCTCTTTTTTCTTTTTCCTGTTTCTTTTTGCTCTTTCTTTTCCTTTCTTTTTCTTTCTTTCCTTTCTTTTTTCCTTTTTTTTCATTTTTTTTCTTTTCTTTTCCTTTCTTTTTTCATTCCTTTCTTTTTCTTTTTTCTTTTTTTCATCTTTTTTTTCATTTCTCTTTCTTTCTTTCACCTTTCTTTTTTCTTTCCTTTTTTTCTTCCTTTTTTTCTTTTTCTTTTTTTTCCTCTTTCTTTTTTCACCTTTTTTTTCATTTTCTTGCCTCTTTGCTCTTTCTTTTTTTTCTTTATTTTTTCTTTTTACCTTTTTTTTCCTTTTCTTTTTTTTCCTCTTTTCTTTTTTTTTTTTACCTTTTTTCCTCTTTCTTTTTTTCTTTTTTTCTTTTTGCTTTTTTATCTTTTCTTTTTTTTTTTTTTCTTTTCCTTTTTTTGCCTTTTTTCTTTTTTTTTTTTTTCTTTCTTTGCTTCTTTCTTTTTTTCTTTTCTTTGCTCTTTTCTTTTTTCTTTCCTCTTTTTTTTCACCTTTCTTTTTCATTCCTCTTTTCTTTTTTTTTTTTTTTTCCTTTTCTTTCATTTTCTTTTCTTTCCTTTCTTTCTTTTCTTTTTCTTTTTACATTTCTTTTTTCTTTCTTTCACCTTTTCTTTTTTTCTTTGCTCTTTTTTTTCTTTTTTTAGGAAGGTTTCTTTCTCTTCCTTTTTTCTTTTTTCTTTTTTTCTTTCCTTTTTTCCTCTTTCTTTTTTTTTTTCCTTTTTTCTTTCCTTCTTTCTTTTTTTTCTTCTTTTCTTTTCTTTCCTTTTTTTTCTTTTCTTTCATTCTCTTTGCCTTTTTTTTCTTTCCTTTCTTTTTTTCTTTTTCTTTTTTCACTCTTTTCCTCTTTTTTTTTCTTTTTTCTTTCTTTTTTTCATTTCCTCTTTCCTTTTTTTCATTCTCTTTCTTTTTTTTTCTTTTTTTTCTTTTCCTCTTTCTTTTTTTTCTTTCTTTTTTTCATTCCACTTTCCTTTGCTCTTTCTTCCTTCTTTCTTTTCCTTTCCTCTTTTTCTTTTTCATTTCCTTCTCTTTGTTTTTTTTTTCCTCTTTTCTTTCCCTTTCTACCACCTTTCCTTTTCAATTTTCCTTTTGCTTTTCTTCCTTCTTTTTTTTTCCTTTCCTCTTTTTCTTTTTCATTTCCTATAAACCAAATTATATTTTTATAAAATTATAAATACAAATTTGAATGTTTTTTGAATGAATTCTGCCAATGATATCATGAGTTACTTACACAGCTGACACAGAATAAGACTGAAATGTTAACCTTACACAGCATAACTTCAGCTGTGAGCTTAGCAAGAGATTTGAAATCTGATCAATTAAAACAATTTAACGCTTAAATCTAATGTTTCAGTGTAATAATTCAGTTTTAGTTCATATGCAGCATGAAAATGAAATGCTGAACTGTTTCAAAAAATGTTACCCACATCTTGAAATTTGAGAGGAATCTTCATTTTTCTCTACATCATGAAAATAAAATGAAAGTGAAAACTTAATTTATGAATTATCAGTCTAGTATTACTTGAAATAACTCATGAATTATGAGGCAACTTTATTAGCTTCATTGAGAAAAGCTTTTTCTTCTATGTGTCATATCCCTTCAGGATATTGCAGATCATTGTTCTCCACAATTTCCAGCCCTTTGTAGCAAATTCCCTTAGTAAATTTGTCTTTTTTGTTATTCCTCTTAAACCATGTTCTGACAACCATTTACAAAAGCTTGTTAGGTTATGCACAGTTTTCTTCTGTCTATCTTGCCTTGAATATATCCTGTCAGTGTCAAATTTTCTAAACCCTTTTTCTTCATAATGTGCTGTAGACATTTCAACTGCCTCCTTCTGATGCTAAATATAAGTGTCCTTTTTGTTTCCATTTTCACTAAAATTTTCTTCTTGCTCACATGTTCGATCAATGGTATTCTCAGCATCCTTCTGTAGAGCCACATTTCTTTTGCCTCAAGTCTTTTCTACAACTGTACATAGATGGTCCAGCATTCACTGCCATATAGGAAGACAGATATAACATAACAGTTTGGTACTCTTTTCTTTGTTGCTATCAACATTTTCCTGTTTCTTAATACTTAGCTTTTGGAAGCCATCTTTCCTTATCCCAATGCATTTTCGGATTTCAGTGTTCACATTTTCTGTCCTCTTTTAAAATACCTACTAAATATTTAAATTGTTGTATTTTCTTGATTTTGGTATCTGCAATTTGTGTAATTTGCATGTTGGACTGTTTCTTTTGCTAACAATCATACATTCTATCTTCTTACAATTGAGGTTTAATTCTTTTTTCTCAGTTTCCTTTCTATGTCTGCTGTCAACACTCTCTCTTATCTTCATGTCTTATATTTTTAAGATTGCGACCATCTATAATGAATCCTGGTAGGACTTCTAAGTTTTACTAGGATTATTTCACTATAAAGGCTGAATGAATCCAGTAAGAAGACACATCTTTGTTTTTTGCCCTTTTCTATTTTTGTATATTTCCTGAATTCATTTTCTATCTGTATGCAGGTCGTTTGCTCCCAATATAAGTTCTGGACAATTCTAATATCCTCCCCAAATAAATCAAGCCTAGTAGCTGAAATGTTTTTTTGTTATCCACTTTATGCATAATCTATAAAATATAGGTATATGTCCTTTTGCATTTGTATTGCTCTTTCTGATATCATCCTGAGCATAAATATTGTGTTCTTTGTTCCAGTGTTTTGAAACCACATTATTCTTGGGATCTTATTGAATAAATGCCTGCTGAGAAAATCATAGGCACTTTGACATAGTGTCATGGTTAGCAAGCTTGTATCATTAGAATAATTATGACTGAGCAGTGAGTTAGATCCTCACTAGGTCTCCCATACTTTCGGCCTTGTGCCACATCTATGCTATGCTTAGAAAAATCACCAAATGGTTTAAAAGTAGACTTAACCTGACTGGGTAAATCACTTTCTTTATTTCTTGAATTTTCCCATTGTAACTTAAAATGGAAAACAATCTGTCTCTTGTGTTTTTATACCTTTATTTAATTATTCATCATGAGTTGAAAGTTAAAGTCTATTTTTAAACCTTTTTACTTTGTTTTCTTTTTATTGGTGCTGCATTTTATAGATTAACATTTTAAACTTAGCAACAATCTTTATTATGACTCCATATGATAGAATTTTACAAAAAATGTTTTTTTTTTTTTTTTTTTTAATCAGTGTCACCCCAAGCAAAGAAGTACAACCTTAACATGCAAGGGGTTACAGGGTGTGGATTAATTAGGAACAGAAACATTAATAATTAATGAAAAGAGAAATGAATGCTGTTTCAAACCTTATCAAAAGTGTGTGTATAATCTATAAAACATAGGTATACATTTTTTTGCATTTGTATTACTCTATCTGATATCATTCTGAGTATGAATATCACATCTCTTGTTCCAGTATCTTTAATAAAACCGCACTGCTCTTCTTTGATTTTGGGGTCTAATTCTGGTACAAACTATTCATCAGAATTCAGACAATAAGTTTTGTTATATAGTGGTTGCTGGGTGATCAACTTGTCTTGCTCAATTGCTAGCTGTCCAGAACAGTAGATCACTCACAAGTTCTTGTATTCCTTGCCACTAGTGTATTGCAAACCACATTTTGTGTTCCCATAAGATTGTATAATATATATATATATGTGTGTGTGTGTGAGACTGATAAAAAGCAAGCCAGATTCTTGTGCCTTTCTTTAATTCATAACTATTAGTTCAACAGCCAGATATGTCAGCTTCTATTGGTTTAATTATTCTAGCTTTTTATGGGACCACACCTAAACACTTAATTAAAGCATATTACACATTCCTAAGCCCCTAATGAGATTTTGCCATTTTTTGAGCTTGGGAGAAGTGGTGGGCTCAAACAAGCCTAGAAACAAAAGAAACAGAGATGATAATACAATCAAGATTAGAATACAAAGATGAGAATACTTTCTGAACAATGAGAATACGTTCTGAAAATTGAGAATATAATCTCGGAGAAAATCCGTTCTGAAAAATAAGAATATAATCCTGAAGATTAAAAATGTGAATATAATATTGAAGATGAGTATACATTCTGATAGGTGAGAATACAATCTCTAAGAGGAGAATACATTCTGAAAAATGAGAATATAATCTCGAAGATAAGAATATATTCTGAAAAATGAGAGTATAATCTCGAAGATAAGAAAATATTCTGAAAAATGTGAATATAATATTGAAGATGAGTATACATTCTGATAGGTGAGAATACAATCTCTAAGAGGAGAATACATTCTGAAAAATGAGAATATAATCTTGAAGATAAGAATACATTCTGAAAAATGAGAATATAATCTCGAAGATGAGAATATATTCTGAAAAATGAGCATATAATATCAATAATGGGAATGCATTCTGAGAGATGAGAATACAATTTCAATTTCCTGTTTCCAGATGTAGTCAAATGCAGATAAAAAATGTTGCCACTGGGACACTTTTGCTTCCTTGATCCTCTCTTGACTGGCCTCTCTTGACTGACCTCTCTTGACTGACCTCTTGCTCACATGCAGATACACACACATGTATCACAAATGCTTGTTTCATACTCACGCATGATCTTATAACCTGTTAATGTTTTTTTTTCCTTTGATTTCCATTGTGTACACATGTAATTCCTTTTGTTAATAACATGCATTAATTGTCATTTTTTTTTTAATTCCATATTTTATTTTTATCTGGACTCATATGAGTCTGCCAATATTGTCTACAGGACAAAAGTTCCAGAAGCCCATAAATATTTACCAAAAAAAAATTCATACACTTCACAAAGAGGTGATTCCTGCAACACTTATAAGACTTTCCTAACATTTCTAAGGTGTACATTTATGCATATGGTCTTCTGTAATGAAAGTAGCTGAGGTACCTACTACAAAAAATTACCTTGAACCATTTTATTTAGTGTGGCCTGCCTGTGATGAGCCATAGGTCATGTGGCCCATTGCTCGAAAAAAAGTTGCCCATGCCTGCTTTAATCTATTTTAACATCTTGTTTCTGCGGAGATTTTACAGTATGTTTACAGAATAACAAGACACTCCCTGAAATATTAACGAGCAAAAGAAATTTCTGGTTGAGCATATACATATATATGTGTAAGGCAGGTCATATGGTATGTCGGCAGATCTTCAAAGAAAAGCTAAGATTGAGCAGAGTCAAGAATTAAGTGTGGGCTGAAGTGGGGAAGAGAGTCAGAGACGTCAGTAACAATTGGGAGTTGAGTCTTGCACTGACTGAAGAGTTTTTCTACTAAATGTACCAGTTTCTGTTTCTACTTCTTTGCTGACATAGTCTTATATTGTAAGCTTTCAATCTTAGCATTAAAAATTGTATTTTCCTTTTTTTTTTTTGCTTTTGGCTAGTCTCTGAGTTTTTTTTCAGATGAAATTTTATCATGTGCAGCATCTATTGTATTGGCTAGAAGCAAAAATTCATAGCATTTTTTAGTTTTTGTATGATCATCATAGTTAAGCAACTTCAAGCTAGTCAATACCTAGGTGGGTGACCACTTGGAAATACCAGGTGGTGTAATTTTGAATGTGCAGGTGGCGTAATGGATAACAGTTTAGAATTGTTAATCAGAGAGCTGTGTTCCAATTCCAGTTGAGATCGTTATATTCACTTATGCACAAATACCCTTGGGAAAGGTAAGACTCCACATCTTCTTCCCCTACCTATGGGTTAATTAGTAGGACTTGTATCAGTAGATCATTGTTATCTCCAAAAGATTCTTATAATCTAAAAATATTTTCTGGATTTAAATAACCTACAAAAGGGTGGATAAGCCATAAAAAGCAAATCAGTTAATCATTTACATATTTGTATTCAATCCCATACATGCCATATTATTCCACTAACTTTCATCATTTGATGTTCAAGACCACTTCAAACAAAAGGTTAGGAAGGAAACACCTATCAGTACTGGAATGAGCAATAACAGTGAACTTGAGAAACCTTTTTTCCTGAAAAATTGTTTTAAAAGAAAGAGTTTAGAAATTTCAAGCAACAGTAGCAATAACTGTTCAGTTAGGGAATACCGAATGTTCCCATATAAGGAAACAGCTATTACCATTACCATTATCATGTTTGGGCACATGGCCAAGTGGTTAGAACATTTGCTTTCTGACCATGAG